GCGTAGGTGTTCGCGCAGCTCATGCAGCGGCCGTAGCGCTCGTTCCACTCCGAGTTGGTGCAGAAGCCGTCCTGGCGACCGAGCGTGATGAGGAGACCTGGTGGTTGTCAGTATCCTGGGTCACGTACTTTACTTAGAAGGGAGAGTGAAAGAAGTGTAGACTTACCGCAGTCCTCGTGGCACTGGTAGCGGGGAGTACCGGGCTCCTGGCGCTTCTCAACGGCGGGAACGGAGTCGGGGTACTCGAAGCGAGGGTGGACCTGGGCGACGGCCATGGAGGCGACGGTGGCCAGGACGGTGCAGGTAACGAATGAACGCATCTTGAAGGTTGGTATTAGGGGTGAGTTTGGTAAGTTGTTGGACTCGAAGATGCTTTGTGGGAGGAAGACTGGATGGGGAGGAGAATTGTCTTAATGGCAGTCAAGTTGTAAGTTTGGGGAAGCGAGCGTGAGGAGGGAAGAGGGGGGTGGGAGCGAGATGAAAGAAGGTTGGCGAAAGAGGTTATTATAGATTATGATGGCTTTGTTGTTTGTCCACATGAGGTACGAAGTAATAGGGGAAAGTCAGGCACGGGAAATCAGGTACAGGATCAGGTACAGGAGAGCCGGCGAGCATGCAGGCATCAGATTCAGTCTAGGCTTTCCCGGCCTGTGAATGTGGAAACCCCAGGGAATGGATGCTCATGTCGGCCTCTTCCGTGGTCCAGCTTGGCCGATGAGAGTCTCCATCAGCTGGAAGACCTAGGCCAGGGTAGAGCGATGGTCCACGGACGTGTAAGGGGGGTTAATACGACGGGATCTGAACAGGATATGGCAAGGCATGTCAAAGCAAGGCAAGGCAAGGCAATGACATAAGGCAGTCCAAAGTCAACGGTCCGCGGAGCAGGGTAGCGCGCGCGGGACTTGAAAGAGCGCGGGACTATTCGTATAGACTCCATGGATGATGGGATAGCTAACAGAGCCCAGTGGGCGAAGAGCAAGTATCCGATCGTGGAAGCTCGGATTTGCCCCGGATCGCCGAAGTAAACCCAACGCGCTCATAGTGTAATTTGCGGGATGCCGAATAGAAAAAAAGCTCGTACCAAAGGTGAAAGACAAGGCAAAAGATCCTTGTCATGCGTGGTCGTTGGCATGGCATGGGCAACTGCAGCTCAAGTGGAGGTCGAGAGGAGGAGGCAATGACTGGGCGAGAGAGGAGGCTAGGAGGAGAGTACCCCGCCGAACCAACGCAACTCTAAGTGTACATACATGGTACGGATGCGACCCTTGGGAGTCAGAAGGAATCTAGAGCCCCGAAGTATGTGCGAAGAGCAGAGAAGAGGATCTTGGCGGGGAGAGATGGAGGAGAGAATGGACTGAAGCGGATGGCGTCGGCCATTGCCCGGCTGCTCTACAACTCTCACCGTTTGGTAGAGCGGGTAACTCCAGAGAAGAAAGACTGACTGATGGCGATGATAACTTGCTCGCTCATCAGTAATGTCTTCTCGTTAGTCCGAGAGCGAGTCCCTCCCGGAAGTCGGAAATACCAGCAATGGGTGACCTGATGGCTGATGCCAAGGGCTGAAAACATGCGGTTTGGCCGAGAGAGGAGCGAACGTCACGAATCGGCCTTCCCAAAACGGGCTGTCTGATCCGTGGCAACCGTTTTATTTATTAGTCTTCTAGTGCCTTTCCGACGTCCGTATGTGCGGCGGCGCGCCTGTGCCTCACCGATATCGTCGACGGGCTCGTCTATTGTGGTCTTGGGAGTCAAGGACCAGTCACCTTGAGCAGTGTACGTGATTGGGGGATCGGGGAGGTGTGGAGTTGGGAGAAATGGCTGGGCGGCCCTGTGGGATATGACTGTCCGTGGCGTGAGGAGGCGTTTATTCCTTGCGCGAGCTGCGTGAGTGGTGGGATGAATCGCGATCCTTGTTGGGGCCTCTCGTTCTCTTTCTGCGGGCGAGGTCGGACAGAGTCGACGTTCTGCGAGGATTCATCCATGTCCATCCATGCTGCGTCCGGGCTAATTAGGGTTAACAACCGACGGGCGGCCTTTCGAAGCGGAGAACGGAGGAGGACCCAGACCCAGACCGGACCAGGGGTGGGCAGAAGAGGAGGAGGAGACTGGAGGAGACGGAGAGTAAGTTGTGGGTTCAAGGTGAGGCAAGGTAAAAAGTACCTAGCGCTGCGGATCTTGAGGATGCATCTAATCTTATCAATCACATCAGTTAAACGACAGCCCATCCAGCCATCAGCCAACAATCTTTGCCAACCATTGTCAACTATGTGCCACCCAGACAATGGCAGACATCCACGTCCGGTGAACCATTCCCTGTTTGGATATATTGCTCCATGCTGCCAAGAGGCACAAGCGGGCCGGATGGCTTCATTTGATTGGACAAAGTGATCTGATAAACTACTTATGGTTCTTGGTGAAGGGGAAAAAAGAGTTTTCGAAACTTTGATTGTGTGTGTCCTTACTTACTGTATCCATGTTGAGAGGTACATGTGGCATACACGATAAATGAACTTCAAGCATGTTTGTCCCTCGTTCCCCTCTATCTCACCACCCTAGAGTTGCAACCATTCCTACGCTACTCTGCAACCTGGTTGTTCGCCAAGGGAACTTGTCGCGATGGTATCTACAGTAATTGCCTGGGCACTTGATCCCCTCACAAAGTGACAAAGAACGTATCCGGCCCCTTCGGCGGCCGAGCGAGAGAGAGAAAATCGATAGAGGCGGGGCGGGGGTTTGATTTCTGTCTGCTTCGTATTCATGTTCCCAGATTTTTGCCGCCCGGCGGTCTTCCCTGTCCGTCCACATTCTTGGCCATCAATCCATCTAGATACCAGACCTTATTGCTCATACTCCTCCCCAAAAGTTCCGCTGTTTATGTTATCAATCTACGGGATGCTGGCAGAATCTATGAAAGACTTGAGTGGTACTTCCCAAGACCTTTTTCCATGCAAAAGAATTCCGTGGTCGCCACCACCCTTCATCCATGCGGCCGTGGCCTCCTCCCACCACCCCATCCAACGGGATCCAGCCAAGTCTTGCCATGTCCTGGGCGCGGGTTGTCTGGGCACTATTGGCGAAAGCCTGAACTGAACTCGTGCCTGACTTCCTTTTTTCCCTCACTACCTTCTGGGCGGGATCCTCCCTCTCTGGGCGGATATCCCGCCCTTCGTGACTTCTGTGAACCCATCTTCTTTCCGTTGACATGTGTGAGCGGAGGTGGTTGGTGTAAGGTTAACCCAAAGAGGGGAAAAGAGGACCATGTGAGATAGATCCATCATCCAGGTTACATGCAATATGCAACCAGTCGGCTTGCAAAGGCGAAGAGAAGAAAATCTCAGGTTGACCTGCAGTAGTATAACTTGACCGTCGTTGCCATCCGGTTCGTTCCCAAGGATCTTATGCTAGTTAAGCCGCCCCCTTAATTCTTAATTCTTCCCACCACCCCCTCCACAGTCGTCGTACGCATCTCTTTCGTAACGCACTCTGTTGGTCCAAGGCATCGCGTGTTTTGCCGCATACCCGTCTCTTGTCTTGTTATCGAAAAAGCTTCTTTTTGATTCAAGCCCACATCACGGCAGCAACAATGCACGCCTCCCTCAAGACGTTCCTGGCCCTGGGCCTCGCCTCGGTTGCCTGTGCCCAGCACACCAAGCAGGATGATGAGATGGGTCCCGCTGCCTTCATGTGGCCGGCTGACAGAGTCTGGAGCGGAGACATGGACAACCAGGCTCCATGTGGTTCAAAGTCTGGTGCTGCCAACAGAACCAATTTCCCCTTGGGTGAGTCAAAAGTCTCGGAACGAAAGTTCTTGATGAAGACAAAAAGATGCGTGAGCCTTTGACTGACGAGTACCGATGAATAGTTGGTGGAAAGGTCGCTCTCGTTGCCCAGGATGACTACTACAACAGCAAGATCTCTATCTCTTACAAGAATGGTATGTTTACGAATCTCTCGCCATTTTATTCTGTTTGAGTGTATGAACTCAACAGACAAGCACTTCAGTCTACTTGACCTCCCCTTGACTTTCACAAAACCTTGTCAACCCCCTATTGCCCATCACAACATGACTAACACACCCCTCAAGAACCAACCTCCAACAGCGACTTCACCACTATCATCGAGGAACAATCCGTCTCGGACCTGAACCCAGGTCACACCTGCGTCGACGTTCCCAACCCGCCCTCCTCCATCGCAGCAGGCTCCAACGCAACCCTCCAAATCATCTACCGTGCCGACTGGGACGCTCCCCACAACCAGACCTTCTACGCCTGCGCCGACATTACCTACGTCGAGGCCGCCAACTTCAACACTCGCATCCCCTGCTTCAACGCCACTGAGCCTGGCGAAGACGACATCGCCGCCACCGCGTCCCCCTCCGCCTCGTCTACCAACGCTGCCTCCAACTCTGGCTCTAGCTCTGGTAGCAGCGGAAGCAAGAAGCTTTCTGGTGGTGCGATTGCCGGTATCGTCATTGGTGCCGTCGCTGGTGTTGGTCTGCTGATTGGTGCCGCGCTCTTCTTCTATCGCAAGAGCCAGCAGAAGAAGCGTAACTCGAGACTTGCCCGTATGGAGGAGAACGCGAAGCGCTCTGAGCACTACAACGCTGGCAAGGACTCGACTTCGCAGAACAGCATTAAGTTGAACAACCTTCCCTGAAAGTAGGAAAGATGGTAGCCTCGGGATTGTCTGACAATCTCTGAACCGTTATGTTGGGCAAACTTCATGTTGTTAGTTCGAAAAGGGGGAAGGGCTGGGATTTTGAATGAGAAATGAAGACGTTTGTGATGGGCTGAGTGAGGCTGGGCTGGGAGATATTATGGGCTGGAAGAATTATGTGTTATGCGCGATGAGATGATATCCAGTTCTTAGTTTAGCAATGATTTGTTTCTTCTACTTTCTCTTACTTGAAGGCCTCTGCCATCGTCAAAAGGTAACAGTATCAAGTGAAGAAGTACAGTTCCAACTGTGTTCTTAACACCCGGGACGACATACTTCCTCGCTCAAGTCAGGTACTCGAGACAATTCGCCCCAGACGAAACCCCCGACGACGTAAAATACCACCCCCAAGCCCTCTCGAGCGCAATCACAGGAATCTTCTTCTCTCTGCACCCAAAAACATACAACAACGACTCCGCCATACCAACGCCCCCCACAAGCTCCTGCAACACGCCCGTCACCCCGTCCATAATCTCCGGGTCCGCCCGCGACTTGTACACTATAAACGCCATCGGCCGGATGAGGTCGTTCTCGAGCACCAGCGTCTCCAGTCCGTTGAGCTTCTCCTTCCGCGTCAACTGCAGCGCGTGGCCGATCATGTCGCGGTACAGCGGCGTCACGGCGGGGAGGACGTTGGCGTCGAGCCTGTGACGCTTGTAGATGGCAGCCAGGTTCTCGACGTAGAGGGACTCGAGGGTCATGGCCTGGAACCAGCGGTGCGGGTTGCGGTCGCGTTGCTGGCGTGAGGTTTGCAAGAGGGGGAAGAAGCTGGCGTGCCAGGTTTGGAGGAGGTTAGCCGACTCCTTCCAGATGGCGGCGTCGTTGGAGGGGTCGTCGGAGGGCTTGTTGGGGGATTTGGATTTGAGACCGTGGAGAGAGTGCATCATGGCGTGCTGCGTTAGATGCCACCATCGCGATGCTTCGGTGATGTTGGTGAGGCTCGACGGCATGTCTTCCATCCTGTATCTGTGTCTGCACCCGTGCGGGAAGTTGCGCGCCTGCGCCGTGACGCGGATCCCTTCTGGCCCGAACCCTTGTGCCCACGGATGCGTATCGAGTCTCTGCAAGGTATCGAACAGCGCAGACTCGAGCTCAGAAAGCCGAACCTCTTCAAACGGCACGCCATCCTCCTCCAACCGAAGACTGATAAACTGATCCATCATAGCCACGGCATGGTTATGATGCTTCGACGCAGCTTCCGGGTTCCCCGCCATCATCTCAAACGTGGTGAACAGCATCGACGTCAGCACCATATACGGCAGCGTATACGTCGTCGCCTTCACGCTGAAGACGGCTTTGACGGCGTGGCCGTAGTGTTCCAGCGCGGCGCGGTACTCTGCGCTGACGAGCTTGTCGCCGACGACTGGGTGGAAGGCTTTCCCAAGGGCCCCGATGCCGGAGCAGATTTCCCGGATGGCGATCTCGTGGTTGGCGTACTGCGGCGTCATCTCCGCCACGTGGTTCTTGAGCACGGTGGCGCCCTGCTCAAGGTTCACGATGAAGGACTGGAACGAGTCCCACTGCCGCTGGTTCTGGAAGAGGGCCGTCTCGTAGCCCGGGGTGATGAGGACGCGGTGGTCGGGGGTCCGGCGCTGTGCGGTAAGGGTGATATGCCCGCCATCGCCACAGCTGCCGCCGCCGGCTGGACGGGAAGTGATATGGACTTGACTATGTCTCTGTGTCGTGAGACGCAGTCCCGAGTCGAGGTAGCCCTCGCAGATACGGTTTGATTTGACGCATTTCATGCAGTGTGGTCTGGCCAAGTCACACTTGATGTGGCGTCTCCTACATGTGCGACACCACGTGAGACCCGTATTCTCCTCATCAAGGGTGGGAACCGTTACGAGGAACGAGGACGGGGGCGAATCAAAGACGAGCATAAGAGAGTTGACATAAACGTACCTGCATTCTTTACACCCATTCCGGGTCTTGGGCGCGCTCGCACGGCTCTGCTTGGGTCGGTTCGAAAGCGAGAAGACGTGAAGCTGGCCGTTTGATGGAGTTCTAAGACCCGAAGTGATTAGTTGTTGGTCCATAAATGAACGGGAGATGCTCCCGTTTCCCTGCTATGAAGCCACGTGCTCTTCCTTGGTCGATCTTCTTCAGACGCTCGTACCAACGACGTCGGCTTCAATGAACCCTGGACACCTCTCATCCAACAGACCAGTCTCTCACGTGCTAGGTACTTACGCCTTTGTTTCGCCCTTATCGGTACTTTGAGACGAAGCTCTCGACATCGGGCGCGACTCTAATTGAAGTTGAGAACGCGCGCCCTGGAAGCTGCGAACCACGAATGTAGGCTCGAGTGACCTGGTTTTGGTACCCATGATATCGGTAAGTACTGTAGCTCAACGCGGTGGCAACAATGTCGAAAGGTAAGATAGGACATGGACATCAACATCAGCAGAACCAAGCAGGAGTTATGAAAGCCGGAAGTCTCAAGACGGTATGGATTTTTGAGAATATCTTAAAGATGACGTTTCCCCTGACTACCTAGGTGAGATAACGAGCTTCTTTCATGAAGTTGATGCGGAGGATCCCGAGGATCTAAGGGAAGCATGGATCATAATCCTTTGATGCAACAAGCCAATCAGAGGATTCTGTTGCTCTGAGAGGCGATCCCGACAGCCAATCAGATGAGCTGTAGTACGTGTTTCCTAATTGGGACTCGGCCGGAATCCTTTAAAGTTCACGATGACTTTGGACAGACTAAGCTGGGTGAATGCAACTCCTGCTCAGCACTTTTCACTGGCAGTCCTCGTCTTTATCCTTCTCTTACTAAGCTGCATATGTCCTTTACCGAGTCTCAAGAAGTTAGATCGCCGCGATGGCTGTTCTTTAGAAGAAACTCAACCTCCAACTCTATCAACTCTCACGAACTAGCGGGCCACTAAAAACTGACAGCTTCCCTTACCACGACCCCAGCAGCAACGCCACAAAGCCTTATAGGTGAATTATCGAAACAATGGGAACTGATATTTGCACCGTTAAAAGAACTGTGGGTATGCGCTGGGCCTCTCATTTGATGTAGAATATATTGACATGTTTGTGACATGGTCGCATGTGCGGTTCTTGGTGGTCAAGAGATGGCTAAAGGCAGCCAAGCCTCTGCCTATGAGTTAGAGAAACCTCAAGACTCGCATATTATTGAGATAAAAATGGGCTTTCGATAGAATGGAAATGGGAATTGTGTTGCTGGAACTAAATGGTGAAGTGTATGAAAGGGGGAGAAGCACCTGGGGAAGGCCAGCTAAAAATTGAAATGGGCTGGTGGTCTCAGCTACAGCCCGGCGGGCACATGGACCACTCCGTACATCAAGTACCCAGCTCGAATTTCTGTTGGCTCCAAGGAGCTCGAGATACGATAGTAGCCTTTGGAGACTCTGATTTGGTGGGTCAGATTGGAGTAAATCCAACCTTATGCCGTTCCCCTTGCGCGAGTATCGAACAATTGTAGCCGGTTGGGCATCTGCCTACACAATGCGGCAGTTGATTGGTATATGATTGAAGATGAGAGCCAACGGAGCAAAGTCCGAAAGGCAAAAGCAATAGACGGTATACGGAGACTTTGGTCTACACATTCAATGCGCAGCGATCCAGTAGCTCAAACCATCAGGGTCTTTGATTGATGAGCGACCGGGATGTCGACGACCAAAGATCATTCCGATCACTGTCAAGTACGGATGCAAACGTGGGAAAGACAACTACAAGTCGAATCCTCCGAGTGGCCAGTGTGCTAATGATAGACTGTGGTCCCGCAACCCCCGAGTTACCAAGAAATGCTTGAACGGCGGTTGAACCGTTGTCGGGGACGTGTTTGGGCAACTTTCCCGCCGCGTCAAGGCCGGCAAACGAAGAACAGTGCCGGCGGGCGGGCGGGCACCCCCCGGGCGCAAAAGTTCATTGAATACGAAAGTCTGTCGGAGCGGTAGATCCATGCCGAATCGAAAGTGACTGCCCAGATTGGCAGTTGGACTGCGGTCCAAAGTCAAGGGAACATATCCTTGAATGTTTCTCTGGTTGATACTCTTCCTGTTAGGTTAGTGCAGTACGATCCACGATCACCAGCCTAGGAGACTTTTGTTAGTGTCCATCGAGATCCACGGACGCTACTTCCTTCCTCTCCCCGCGATTTGAGGCATTCTTTTCCTTTCTAGTGCGTCCGTACGGATAGGTGTGTTGGAAGAAAATGGGGCCAAACGACCAAAGCCAAGACTGGGACTTGTCTGCGGAACTGTGAACATCCTCGCAGTCAGGCCCCTTTCTAGGTTCACGTTGCGGGAGAATCCTTATTAGACCGTCCGATCTTCGAGTCAGTTGACTTAGTTCAGACGAAAACCTAATTCAAATAAACAAACCTCAGAGCCAGCACATATACACCACTCTACTGTGTAAGATGAACGGATTAAAGAAGCCCACTGAGTCGTCGAACAGGTCCGTCTCAGACTGTTCATCCCCTTTGCGACCTCGAAATTTCCACTGTTTTCATTTTGTAACTCCAAACCTTGTCATGGATGTCGGCAGTTGGCGACGCTGATGAGCCCCATCTCGATATTAACTCTCCGAAGTCTAAATCGTCAACGGACGCAGTAATGGTCCTGACGGAACACTCGGGCCAACAAAAACTCGCCCTTTTTTCCCACTCGAATGCCTCCGGCGGCCGTTTGTGCCACGAGAATAGATGATAAGTAGACCCACAAAGCAATATCACCGAATCCGAGTGCATCGGCGCTCGCGGGGCAGGCTGGGATGAGGTTGTATGCGGTTATTATGATCGAAACTTTGTCTTTTGGGTACTGCGGGACATCCGGTTCTACAGTATGTCAAGATAAATAAAGCCGGCTCACTTCACTTTGGCCTCCTGGTGTGCTCGGCGTTGAAGTTTCCCGTAGCCAACGCAAGTCGTCCAACGAGTCCATTCCTTACAACAACCAACTTACACACGTTCGCTTCCAACAACAAACAAAACTACATCCAAGATGAAGAGCTTCACCACCCTCGTTCTCGCGGCCACCGCCATCTCCGCCGCCGCCGTCAGCAAGCCCCTTGTGCAGCGTAACACCGGCTCCGACCTCAACATCAAGATCGGCAACAAGATTGTCAACTCTGCCGCCTACGAGAAGTTCCTCAACACCGAGGTCCTGGCCCCCAAGCAGCTCCAGACCCGCCAGGACGGCGAGCCCGACCCCAACCGCAACGAGACCAACCCCGAGACCATCTTTGTGCTTCAGTGCACCGATGCTATAAGTTTTAAGAGATTTAACCGGTTATGAAGCAGTACTGACATAAATAGGGTTTCCGTGGTGACTGCCTCGTCTTCGGCACCAGCCCCGGCGACTATAATAAGTACTTGGTCTATAGGGGTAAGTTTAATCCCCTGGCTCGGTACCGATCCACAGACAAGGGTTAACGCACTAGTCAGATCGTTAGCACTAAATAGCTAATATAATTAATAATTATTAAATCTTAATTAATTTCTATAACTAAATTAATATTTAATATATATTCCGTTAGTATTAATTATTACTTAGTAACGCACGGGTATTATATTTAATAATAAGCATAAAAAGTCCTTTAAAAAAGTATCCTAAGCCTCTTTAACTTATTATTATAATACGTTATATAAAGGGTTTTTTTATATACTTATAAGCTCTTATATATAATCCTTTATCTAATTCTAATACGTTTTAATAAAATTAAAATTAAATAAAAAAAGTAGCTAAAATATTAAATAAACGCTACGGTTATTAAGCTCTTATTAAGTTAACTCTACGTTATATATTAGGGCGCCGTTTTATATTAAAATAAAGTTATTACTATATATTTATTAATAAAAATAAATCTAACTATTAATAATTAATATAATATATTCTTAATAAGTATTAGTACGTATATTACCCTAATCCTTCTCTTAAAAAATACCTAGTCTTTTCTAATCCCTAAAAAAATATCCCTAAAATATCTAACCCCGTTTATATTAATACCTCTTAATAATATATATTAAGTCCTATTCCTCGCTATAATAATAAATAATATAAAGTTTATAATAATAACTACCCATAACCTATATCTTATCTATCTATAGGACCTTCCGCTAATCTTTAACAATTTAATAAAAATACTCTTAAGCCTAAATAAAACGCTTAATTTAGTTAGTTTTAAATATAAAGAGCTTATAACGGGCAACGTAATAATAAAACCCGAGCTAATATAAAGCTACTTATATTATATAAATACTAAATTAAAAAAAAAAGAGTATAATTAAAAGTAATAAAAAAGAGGCTTAGTAGCCGTTTTTAAAAAAAATAATATACTTAATAAAGGCCTCTTCTTATTATAAAATCATAACCTATAAGTAGCTAGAACGTAGCGTAATTATTACTAATAAAGCCCTTATAGCCGTACGAACTTAGTTTTTTATAAATCTAGTTAATTTAATTATTTAAACTTATATAAATTTCGTATTAATATATAATATACGAATTTATTAATAATTAGCCTTAATAAAGTACTTTATTATACTACTTATTAACTATACTATATTCGTAATAATTCGTTAAAAATAAAGTAGGTAAGTAAGTAAGTAGTATATAAGAGGAAGAATTCGTAATTAGTAAAAAAGTTAGGCTAGGCTAATTAGTAGGCCTATACTAAAATAGTAGCTTCTGATTAGTCGAATTGCCCATAGAAGGCAGGCACGGGCCATCCCCACCGGTACCTAACAAGGGGGTTAAACTTTAGCCTGATACCGTAGTAACCGTACTCTGCAATCGTAGTGAGATGAATAAGTGCTGACTCGTATGTGAAGTCTCCTACTTCAACTTCCAGGCCGCCAACTCCACCGCGATCAGCGACCGCTTCAACGACCAGGTCTCTTCCCTCTCCACCAACACTGGTGGCAAGTGCCAGTTCTACAAGTAAGTAGTCTTTAAATAAGTCTCAACTTGTCCAACAAGACATACTAACAATTCACCAAAGGTACAAGGGCTGCAACAACAAGGGCGATGACCGTGGCCTGACCTCTTCTTACAACTACAACCTGGCCGTCGCTCTCCCCGACGACCCCCGCACCGTCGAGTACGAGAACCAGATCACCTCCTGGAGATGCTAAGCTGGCCGAGGTGCCGGCTGAATTTTGAATCAGCCATTTATATATATACCACGATTAGCAGTTGAATTATAGTTGTATTTGCTTTGCTTGAGGGCTACTGGGCAATCTTCTGAACTGCCCTTCAAAGTGTCGCACCAGTACTGCACAGCTTCGACCTCACTGCTCGTATTTCGAAAAATAGTGATGAAACGACCAATTTAAACTTGCCAACCACTGCGTCCGTATTCGTGCATTGTTGCATTTGAGATGGCACCACAGTTCGTCTGATGGGGCTTACAAACACAGCCTGACCTTGCCAACGTAGAGGAGGTGGTTTTCTGAGGCGATCTGCACGCACTACCCCTTGGCTCCGAATTGCCAGATGCGGCAGGTTGGGTTTCGGACGACAGCGCTGATTGGATCTTTGCTGTTGCATTCGCCCTCATGGGAGCAGTACCACGTTCAGCCGCCATGCAGCTGTATCGGCTGGAAGCAAACGTACACTCGGCTACACGATTTAATTCCAGCTCTTCTTTCCTATAGGCTGCCTCTGTTCAGCTCGGCTCGTAGCTCAAGTCAATCAAGGTTGTATTGTACGTTACAGGAGTCCCGAAGCCGGATAAGTATGGTTGACAAGAGCAGCTAAAGCACCTAATATCACCTGGAGTATATTGGGGTTGCGCATTTTCGTGAACGCCAACCTGCGTTGCTGGAATGACTTTTAACTATAAGAGAGACGAAGCATTGCATCAATACCAATTTGTCACCATGGTCTCCTCGGAAACTGGAAGTCTCTCCCATAGCCTGCTCTAGACTCCAAATCCCAGAGAGTCGGCATCTTTTCCAAAATCTTCTGCTGGATACCTAGGATCGAAAGATGCGTTCGCTTCTTTTCTTTAGCATGATACTTTGCTGGGCAGCTTGGTCAGACCCCACATGCATGGTAGATCGAGGACTCTGCTGACTGATTAATGCAGGGAAGCATCCGGTCAAGTCATCACGCTGACTCCATCGACGATAGATCGAGCCAGGACCGTCACCGTTACGAGGACAGAGACTAGGGAAACCACGACTACCGCCACTACGACGGCGACTGCTGTCGTGACAAGCCCGACGACAACGACGCTGCGAGAAGTCTCAACCACCACCGCACTCGTCACTCAGACCATCACGAGAACGACCACGGCGCCCTGCTCAGCTCTCAACTGTCCAAAGGTTACCTCTACCGGTACCATCTGCAAAAGCTGCTTCGTCGCGCAGTGTACTACCACTTCGTCTATCACGAAGTCTTGCGGCTGCCCTGTTCTCTCAACTGCGTCCGTCGACTTTGAGTGTGAAGATGCTGATGTTTGTAACAAGATTGGGTGCAGGACTGTGTATGCAGTTGCAACTCCTGTGTGCTAGAGTCTCGTTCTCTTTTCAAAATCATGAATTGTGGCGTAGTGGATGGTGTGAGGAGTCGCTACAATTAGGTGAACTTCGGGGATTGAAGAAGTTTTGCTGCAACTACTATAGGTACTCAATCGTAGCCGCAATCATCCCCTTGAGCGAATGATCTCCTTGATTATGCATGCTTTACTAAACGTATAGAGTGTTGCCTTCAAAGAGACTAAGGCTGCACAAAGTCGGCAACTCGGCCACTTCTTCCTGTAGATGGAGACATGGCCCCAAATCTCCGCACACGATCTCCAATATTATGAGGGGTTGTTGCGTGATGTTGTTTGGAGATTGGAGGAATGCAGTGTCGGCCGACCATGGACTTTGTGGGCTATTGTGCCACTGCTGCATTGAAATAATGCGAGTTGACTGCATGAACCGTTTGAACCAACACGCAGTGGACAGCTCATGGGTAAAAGGATCCCACCGGAATCAGCCAAAGTCAAATCTATTGTCTTGCTAAACACAAACATGGATCGAATCATGGATGAGTGTTCGTCCGGCATGTCGCGCAACGGCAGATCGGCCCGAACTGGATCCCAACATCTTCAGAAGTTCAGGCGGTCACTGCCAACATACTCACTCCTCATTGAGAGATTGATCAGTTTTTGATGTCACCCAGGCAGGCAACTTAAGCATGTCTTGCTTCTGTACTATACCTCGGATGATCGGATCCTACCGAATTGACATAAAAAGTGGCCGTCGGCCCATGATGTTGCGATGTAATATCCGGCCGTGTTGGCTGCCAAGGCACAGTTCTCTCACGAGAACACGCTAAACCAACCAGTCATCCAGTCCAGCGCACAACGGGAGCCATGCCCGTCGGTGAAAAGATCGCTTAAAATTGGCTCGTCGAAAATTTCAAGACGCTACTGCAAAGTCCTCAAGCAGTCAATGACATCAGGCTCACCAATCTTAGGTGCCTTGGGTCAGTGATTGCTGCGGCTACAGGAATCGCGGGGGTTGCGGCCGGGGTGGTTGATCGTCTAAATCGTCTTTCTCCAGTTCTTTGCCCCCGGTTCCCCCCTCATGATTCCCCGCAGTTGTCGGTTCGATCAACACCGAGCACGTTTGTCCGGATGCTACGCTGCGCCGGGGTACAACGGATGGGACCGGGGGGCCGGTGTTGGCAGGGAACTGGCAGGCTAGTAGGATACCCTTTAAAGAAGACGCGATGGCTTCCTCTTGCGCGCGCGGTTTCTCGATTGGCTGTTGGCTTTTTGACTCTTTTTTTCGGCTATCGTGTTGCATCTGTCAAGTTTCAGCCATAGTCAAAAAAGCGCCACGATGAGGTTTGGTCTGAAAGCCGGCGGCCTCCTTTGGCTTGCCGCGTCGCTTTGTGGCTCGCAGAGCGCCTTAGCTCAAGATGTTGACTGGCCGATCCATGACAACGGTCTCAATGAAGTCGTCCAATGGTAGGTTCCCATAGTTTGTTCACGGATACAACATTGGCTTCATACTGACTGAACTCTACGCAGGGATCACCACAGCTACATTGTCAACGGAGAGAGACTCTTCGTCTTCTCTGGCGAGGTATGGCGACTGACTACTTCCCCGTATCGCATGTTGGGATCGTCTCGCTAACAAATGCAGTTCCACTACTGGCGTATCCCTGTGTTCGTGATCCAACACAACATCATCTGCAGTGTACTAAGCTTACTGACATATCTTCAAGTCCCGAACTTTGGCGAGATCTCCTCGAAAAGGTCAAGGCGGCTGGGTAAGATACAGTCTCTGGAGTGGAAAAGGTCGTTTCGTGGCTAACACGCAGATGACAGCTTCAATGCATTCTCCATCTACAACCACTGGGGCTACCACAATCCCACACCCGGTGTCTTGGACTTTGACACCGGCGCTCACAACTTCACCTCCATCATGACCGTCGCCAAGGAACTCGGCATCTACCTCATCATCAGACCTGGACCCTACGTCAACGCCGAGACCAACGCCGGCGGCTTCCCTCTCTGGGCCACCACTGGCGCCTACGGTTCTCTGAGAAACGACGACGAGAGATACACTGCGGCGTGGACCCCCTTCTGGTCGGAGATTTCCAAGATCATCAAGCCTCATCTGATCACCAACGGCGGAAACGTCATCATGTTCCAGGTACGCGATCATTCCCAAGAACTAGAGAGAGCGCATTTGCTAAGTGGAAACCCAGATCGAGAACGAACTCAACGGACAGTGGAAGGACATTTCCAAGAGAGTCCTGAACCCGCCCATCGCCAACTACATGCAGCTTCTCCAGGACAGCGCCCGGGAGAATGGAATCGACGTGCCCCTGTCTCACAACGCCCCCAATATGGTAAGTATCTCTGTTCAAAGACTTATGTACTCCCACTTTCTGACACTGCTCAGCGCGGCTTTTCCTGGTCCAAAGACTTTTCCAATGCTACTGGAAACGTCGATGTCGTCGGTGTCGACAGCTACCCTTCGTGCTGGAGTTGCAACCTGAGCGAATGCACCGGCACAAACGGAGCATACATCCCCTATGTGAGTAACTCAGAATCACCACAACTACTGTATCTTGCTAATCATCCCATTCACAGCTGACTCAAGATTACTACTCCTACTTCACAGTTCAGTCGCCGTAAGTATTCCAAGTTGAAACACGCTCAAATCAGAATTCTAATCATCTTACAGGTCACAACCCAACTTCCTTCCAGAGTTCCAGGGCGGTTCCTACAACCCCTGGGGCGGACCCGAGGGCGGCTGCCCCAGTGACATTGGTGCCGATTTCGCCAACATCTTCTACCGCGATCTCATCTACCAGAGAGTCACCGCAATCTCCCTTTACATGATGTTCGGTGGAACCAATTGGGGCTGGCTCGCTTGTCCCGTTGTTGGTAAGTCCATGTCGCCATCGTATGGTATGTGTGAGATCGACTCATGCTAATTCAACGCCAGCTTCGAGTTACGACTACTCTTCTCCGGTATCCGAGAACAGAATCATCGGCAGCAAGTTCCACGAGACAAAGCTTTTGACTCTGTTCACCAGAGGTTCGTAGATTGTTCACCCCTGAAGTATGCAAGATGAATTCTAACATTTGCGTAGTGGCCAAGGATCTGACAAAGACTGAGAGAGTCGGAAACGTAAGTGAAGCAGTGATGCAAGTCAAGTGAGATTCTGACGTGCCCTAGGGCACTGGATACACCACCAACTCAGCCATCACCGTGTCCGAGCTCCGCAATGTCGACAACAACGCGGCGTTCTACATTGCCCGTCACGCATACTCCCCTTCCAACACCAACGAGGCTTTCAAGCTCTCTGTCAACACCTCTCAGGGTGCTCGTAAGTCTTTCTTCTATCTAATATCAAATTCTGCGTATCAAATGCTGACTTGACTCAAGTCACCATCCCCCAGCACGGCAGCTCGATCGCCATCAACGGCCACCAAGCCAAGGTCCTTGTCACCGACTTCAGATTTGGCGAGAAGACCCTCCTATACTCCACCGCCGAGGTTCTCAGCTACACTTTTCTCGACGGTCAAGAGGTTATTGCCCTTTGGCTTCCTGAGGGCGAGGCTGGCGAGTTCACAGTCACTGGCGCCAACTCTGCCAAGCTCATTGGCGACGGCAACGTCGCTGACTTCAACGTCTACCCTGGCGAGAGCAACGTCATCATCGCATACACGCAGAAGAAGGGCATTACGCTTGTCGACCTCGGAGATGGCTCCCGCGCCGTCCTGCTCGACCGCAGCGCCGCGTACCTCTTCTGGGTACCCGTGCTTGACAACGACCCCTTTGCTCCGGCCAACAAGACTGGTGAGTTTTTTTTTATTGACGCATCGATTCCAACTTTACTGACGAACTCGTGCAGTCTTTGTTCAGGGACCGTACCTCGTCCGCCACGCTGCCTTCAACGAGACTGGCCGTAGCTTGGCGCTCTCTGGAGACGCAGACCAGGAGACCACCATCACCGTCTTTGCCTCCGAGTCCATCTGCGGCATCACCTGGAACGGCAAGAAGCTCGAGCTTCTTTCGAGAGAGGGTAACGTCTTCACCGCCAAGATCGAGGGCCCTGCCAAGTTCGAGGTCCCCGCACTCGGCCCTTGGAAGGTTCACGACAGCTTGCCTGAGATCGCTACTGATTACGAAGCCACCTCTGACAGCTGGGTTGGTAAGTGATACCTGTTACATCTTGTCGTGTCGTTAAAGAGGGAAAACGGTCTAATAAACTTCCAGCCGCCACCAAGACAAACACCTCCAACACCGTCAAGCCCGCCTCAAACAACCCCGTCCTCTACGTAGACGAGTACGACATCCACGTCGGAAACCACATCTACCGCGCAACCTTCCCGACCTCCGAGTCCGCCCCGACTGGCGTTTTCCTCAACGTCACCGGCGGTCTGGCCTTCGGCTACTCCGTCTGGCTCAACTCCGAGTACGTCGGCTCCTACCTCGGCCTCTCCTACCTGGGAGCAGACGCCAGCTCGTTCTCCTTTGAGAATGCGACTCTCTCCAAGACCGGCGACAATGTTCTCGTCGTCATCATGGATAACTCAGGCCACGACCTGCGTGAGGCGGCGCTCGCGCCCCGCGGTATCACCAACGCGACTCTGCTCGGCCCCGACGCCGCGAATTACAAGTTCTCCGAGTGGAAGATTGCCGGCACCGCTGGCCGTAACGACCTCATTGACCCCGTTCGCGGTCCTATCAACGAAGGAGGTCTGTACGCCGAGCGCGTTGGCGCCCATCTGCCCGGCTACCCCGACGCAGACTGGGAGTCCTTTGACTCTGCTAACGGATCTCTTTCCGTTCCTGACGCCGGCATCCGCGTCTTCCGCACCGTTGTCCCGCTCGACGTTCCCGCCGGCCTCGACGTCTCTATTTCGTTCCGCCTTACTGCAGCTACTGACGATACGAACCGCCTTCGCGCACTTCTGTTCGTCAACGGATACCAGTACGGTCGCTTCAACCCGTACATCGGCAACCAGGTTCAGTTCCCTGTCCCCACTGGTATTCTCAACTACAACGGAGATAACACGATCGCTGTAACTGTTTGGAGTCAGGCTGCGGAGGGTGTTGCGCTGAATGTTGAGTGGCAGGCGGATTACGTCCACACTTCTAGCTTCGATATGAGCTTCGACAGCAAGTCTTTGAGACCTGACTGGGATGAGAGCCGTTCGGCGTTTGCCTAGATATCCTGAGTATTAGGTTCATGTCATAGGACATGAGAATTATAAGACTCGGAAGTGAACCAAATCGTTTCTATTACTGCAAGTGTGTGAACTTTTGAGACGCGACGCGACCAAGTTTTTCAAGGATAGTTCTATGAAGACGAATTATGTCAAAATCTCTCCGCCAAACTCCATAAGCTACACCTCGACTTTCTGCTTTTGAGAGTCAGAGCCATGCTGCCAATGCTCTTCACTCGTAGCACCCCCAATCACTCGAAGATAGGAGCCTTCTCAGTCGTTGTCTTCCAAATCGCCGGTCTTTTAGGGCGAGTAGGGCACCTGCTCTATAACAAATGTCTAGGTATACCTGGTCTCATGTAGGCCATGATGGGTGCCCAAGGACAACGAAGTCAAAAAGTTGTTACCACCCAGCTGAATCCCGGTAGGGTGACCAGGGCATGAGAGCAGTCTACATCTGGTCGCGCGTCTAGATATTCGGGACACAATCATTGAGATACTCAGCCATGTTTGGGCATTAGCCAATGCGAAATTCATGCTCAGCAGTATGCAGTATCATGCCGCCTGCAGGAAAATGACACCCAAAGGTCACCAAGGTCACCAAAGTCACCAAAGTCACCAAGATCGCTTAAATCAAGGTCATCAATCGGAAGTCACTAGAGTCTTGATGGTCGCCAAAGTCACCAAAGTCACCAAAGTCATCAAGATTGCTTGAATTAAGGTCACCAATCGGAAGTCATCAAAGTCATCAAAGTCACCAAAGTCACCAAGCCACGAAAGAAACATCGTGGTCTGATACGGTATGGTCCTTCCTGCAAGTGAGAATGAAAATCTTGAACATGGAATCTACAGGGAAGGAGCACATCGAATGTCAATGTTCTTTCCATTTCCCCCCCCTCCTCTAGCCCTCACAACTGACTTCCTTCCTATCTTCCCATTCCACTGGGCGCCTTCCCCTTGGAGTCTTCTCGCCCACGACTCTATTTAAGAGGCCATCTTCAGCCTCTGGACAAGAATATCTCTTCCAAACACCTCACTTTCTTCATACTATTCTTTTTCCAAATTTACACAGTCATATATCAATCATTGGCAGCATTGACATTGCAATCGTTCGCTCGAATTTCACACACACGAGGCTCAAGTAGCTACTTCTCTTCTCAACCATGGACTATGTGCCGGGTAAAGAGATAGTGGTCGCTCGGTACAGGAGCAAAGTCGAGAAGATAGCTGAAAACGGGTCTTCGGAGGTCAAAGGCTGGCTCACCAAAAATACAACTCACAACACTCCATGGGTTCTGCGAGTTCTTCCCGACTATGTCGAAATTGTCAGAAACCAGTTTCCTGGACTTTTTGACACGATGAAGCACTCTCGCAACAGCGGTTGCGTCAACGGCACAGCACTGCTCTCAATAGAGCATACAGTTTCGACCGTGGATGCAGAGGAGCGTCCAGAGTACCTATACCGAACTATACATGGCAGCCAACCTTACGGAGGAACCGAAGCGAGACTAGGCCGAGGAACAGATCCTATCTTTTTGCACATACACTTACGCAAGCACCTTCGATGGCGATGTCGAGAGTCAAGTCCGTTCCTTTCGGCAACCAACAGCATGGAAAAGGCCGTCCGCATCGCCACATTGTACGAGCTTCGAGGTTTCCATAATATCACGATCCTGAAGTTCCAAACCACTGGCACGGCTTGGGATCATGATGTGCAGCGCCTTTGGAATCCGAAATCCCTGCTTCGGGAGCTCAATTTGCACGAGGACCTTATGCCTTGGCTTGACAACGAATTTCTTGTCGAGCACTCCATTCCAAAGTCGAGCATCGTCAAACGCTGGGACTGGGGAAGCTATAGTCAACAAAATGAAGTCGATCCATTGCGTCTCTACAGGAAAGCTGCTCGATTTTTCTACGAAGGAAGAGAGCGCGTGGCCACTGAGCGGAAGAAGAGACGCGACGCCGAGAAGAAGAAGGAAGCAGAGCACGCATCTGCGAGAAAGCGCAAGGCCTCCGAGGAAGGCGGCAAAGACGAAAACACTGGCAGCGACAACGAAGACGAATCGGAGTCTAAGCCGAAGAAACGAAAGTACAGCAAGAGGGTCCATGTTGGTCCTAAGATGAGACGCGACGGTGGTGCTTGAGATGGTTCATGGGCAGTTGCCTGGTATAGGGAAAGGAGTTCTTTGGTTTCAAAATGGGTTTTCTTTTGCGAAAGATGGTTATTTGCGGCAGTTTCACGGGTGGTACACGATTCATGGAGATCAGGTCATGGATTTTCGGGAGCGCATCATCACTTTGCAATTTTTTCAGGCGCGCAATGGACCTGAAGCCAAAGCTTTATTAGATATTCGAATCTCTATAAGTGGAACTGATTTAGTCTTCAATGGCGTCAATCCTCATCACTATGTCGGCCATTCATGCAACGTGATATCATATTAGAAAGGGTGCGAAGGAAAGGTGTCTAGGTAGTGTCAAAGAGACTTACGGCAAGTGGCTACTCACATTCAAGGAAGCGGCAATAGATATCTGCCTAAACATGAGAAGGTAGTATCTCCTCAGGCAAGGCAGGCATGTGTTTCTTATCGAAGGTTGGGTAAGAGCAACGAGAAGCGAGGCAGCGCTCATACTTTCCTTCGTGGCTCTCAACGCCAGCATCTGTCGTTGCTATTCTTCTTCCCAATACACCAGTCTACTCGAATTACCATCTATCTCATCGCCACATCACCACGCAGCACAGCAAACTATACCCAGAGCAGCTTATCATATCCGAAGTTGTCGAAGTCGAACTCTTCAAACTTTTACCCAAGGAAATCAGACGCATAGTATAGCGCGAGACCCTCGAAGACCGACTCGTGGTCGTAGCCCCCCGAGTAGACTGGCTTGCTCGAAGAAGTCGTCTGCCCGCCATGTCCGCTGTTCATCGAGAAAGCCGCGAAAAACTTTTTTGTCATGTACATTCGGTTGATCAGCGAGTCTACGGGCATGCCTCACAACACAAGTTCCTTTGGTTGGCTTGTCAAAGACCATGTCTACTTCAATCCTGATGTTGACACCCTCATTCTCGGTACGATTGTCGACAGACTCGGGGGCTTCCGATTTGCGCTCGCCAGCCCTCAATGGCGCGAAAAAGTTGGTGGCTTGGGGGACTTAACTACATCGCCAACCTTCCCGGGCTATATAAAAAAGCGACTTCGAAAAGTTCGTTTACACGACAGCTGCTTCCTGCAGCGAATATCCAACCGAAGACTTGATAGAGGTGAAACCTCCGTTCTTACACCCCTTTCAACACCTCCTACTCAGCGGGACCCACTTCCCAGTCTTCAATTCCCATGTCTTGAAATCATCCACCTGGTTTCTCTGCTTTGCATTCCGATACCAAGGAGCACGCCGCAAGGTCAGACAGGATTATCTCTGCGTGGCATGGGGGTTTGTTTTCGTTACATACTGCCAACCAATAGGCTTTACTGTTATCGGGAGTTGACCCTACCTGACGAGTGCCTTGAAGGTATACGGCCGAACGCTCGCATTCCTGACGATCACTTCAGGGTCGACCCGAATAATAGTTGCGGTATCCGCATTGACATCTTTCGCGACAGCAATGTCGATTGGGTCACTGACGCCTACTTACCCGTTAATGGATTCCACAAGATGCACCTTGCTTGGAAGATTGCTATGGAATACGTCTCGATGCGCCTGGGCGAAAGTTGGAGGTGATTGGTGTCGTGAACGCCTTCTCGAATACTTTCGGTCTGTTAGGAAGCAAGACGTTTGTGTACACAAGGGACTTTCAGAGTCAGCGTTTCAGTAGATAAGCCTTCACATCACTACTACTGAGCATGTCCAAGGGCGGACTCCAGAGCTTGTTTCTATTGAATCGTTTCTGTTATGTACTCTCTTGCGTTATTTGTGACCTCGGGGCCCCGCAGATGTTGCAGAGAGATGTCCATGCGATGACCCGATTCCCCCCCAAAACGAACTCCTTAGGATCGTCTCCTCCTCCCCCTACCCCTCCCACTCATTATGAGATTTCGCTATGAATGTTCTTGACTTTATATCTCAGGGCTAAACTGAGAGGATTCCGTTTCTATTCAATTGTCCGATATCCCAAGGCTTCAGAGCTGAGTTCGAAGCTCTCTCCGGAAAGGAGGGCAGATGCCTCTATACTCCTACTCTCGCTCTGCTTCATCACCCAACCATCACGCCGTCTCTCGAGCTAAGTTGTCGAAGTATGCTCCTATCCTAGTCGGAGTGGATTCTATACTGTTTCACCAATTGATGTCCGTATGGTCAGATCCTAAGCCGACGCGGGCTTGCAAATTTTTGCTTCTCTTTCGGTGAGCATATGTCTTCAAACGCCGTGTCGCATCCTACATTCGATTCAGGCCGAAGAGAAATCCATCATGTTTTCTCAATGAGATGCAGCAACACGCCATCAATCAAGCTCTCTCATATTGCATTCTTGCCATTGGCCCCCCACCAGTGTTATTCAACCATTGACTCCCGATTCCACTTGGATCGACTATTGATATATGAGACCATAAGAGAGCTGGCAGAGAAGGGATATGTTTACAAAGGACGAGAAATACCAAAGGTTCAAAAGACTTTGAACTTTCCTTGGATCGTTTGCGTTCCCTTGTCAGTACTTTACCTCATTGACATAGTTCCCCCTCCCAAGTCTGTCTTTTGAGGTTCTTTGTCGAGTTCACAACAACCTGGCATGCCTTCTGGAAGAAATCTTGCGAAGATGAATGCGTGATCCAGTGCTGATAAGTTCATGTCGGGTATGGGCCTGGACTAAAGCTGCTCTCAGACGAAGCTATTCTCAGACCAAGGATGAGATTGATCGAGGATGACTCTATTTAGCCATAGCCAAGAGCAGCACCGGATCTCACTCGTCCGAACACCTTCTCGCCAGAAGGTATGAATCCATCTGAAAGTGATCGTCTGAACGCCGGACGAAGAACCATCCCACCCGACGACCTCATCAGCAAGCAACCGCCACATCAAGGGCGAGAATACCTCACAACAAAGCTGCCCGCCCAACCTCACGATGATGATAGTTCCCGCTTCAAAGCACCTTTCTCAACACCAGACGGGAGGCCATCACGACTAAGCAAGCACATTGATCATGTGACATCCCTCGGGATATCTTTTGAAATCTACTCCTGGGTTCCCACTGAGCTCCCTTCTTTCCAAAAATCTCTTCCTTCCCACACCTCAGGGACACCAAGAGCTTCCATCATCACAGTCTACCAAACAATCGATAATGGCTCAGCAAACTTCCCTTGCGTCCAACAATCCCCCTACCGACAATCCTCCTGACATTGTCGTTGAGACCATGTCTTCACCCTCGCTTGGCAATTCGTCTAACGTTGCTGCCGGCAAGTTTGCCGACAAGCCCACTGACGCCGTCATGACCTCTCCCTCGACCAACAACTCGTCTAGCGCTGTCGCCGCTGACAAGCCTACCGACGCTGTCATGGAGAACGCGTCCTCCCCTGCAGATGGTACTTCGTCCAATAACGTCACTGTCGACAACCACTCCGACATTGCCATTGATGCCATGTCCTCTCCCATGGTTGGCAACTCGTCTGACGCGGTCGCTACCAATGAGCAATCTGACGTGGTCATGGAGACCATGTCTTCCCCTGCGGTTGAGATCTCAACCAACATCGCCACCATCGACAGCCTTGAAGATACTGTCATCCCGAACATGTCATCTCCTTCCATTGGCAACACTTCCAACATGGCCATCCCCGACAACCTTTCTGATGTCGTCATTGAGATCGCTTCCTCTCCGTCGACTGGCAACTCGCCCAACTTGGCCACCGCCAACAACTTGGCAGACGGTGTCATCTCGGTCGTGTCTTCTCCCTCCGTTGACAACTCCTCCGACATCGCCATCGCCGGCGACTCTCCTGATGCAGTCATCGAGATTATGTCTTCCCCTTCGGTTGACAGCTCTTCCAACGTTGCCATCGCCGACAACGCTTCCGACGCCATCATTGAGATCACGTCTTCCCCCTTGGCTGCCGACAACTCGTCCGACACCACTCCCAGCGCTACCAGCCTCCACCGCCTCCCGCTTGCAGTCCGTTCGGTCATCTAGGAGATGGTCGCCGAGTCTTCTGGCCAGCTTGTCGGTATCGGTCCGAACGCGGACGCCCATGCGCGCCGCCCTGGCTACCCTGCCTTTGCCTTCGTCAACAAAGAGGCCTTCCACGCCTTTCTCAAGGCCTACACTCGCATTGACAAGCATCCCAACGATCCCATTGTCTACCATCCTGATCTCATTGACCCTGTCGATATGCAGGACTACGAGTTTGCCGAGGCGGCTTTCCTTGCTCCTGGTGTTGATTGCATCTATATCAACCCCCGTACCGATGAGGTTTCTCTTGGCTATAAGACCGACATTCCCGGCCCCGCCTTCTATCCCAGCTTCATCAATCCCAACCTTGGACACGAAATCAACTCACAGCTCAAGATGGTGCGCATCGTGATGGAAGATTTCCGCGGTTGGACCGACGGACACGACTACCCGCTTCTCTACCACAACTTCCTCAACAAGAAGCCCGTCGCCAGCATCGACGTGAGCCAGCTCAAGTACCCCAACATCAACCAGATCACCGTGATCTTCCGTGGCCTTGAGAATGAGTGGAAGAGCGACAGCAACAACTACGTTGTCAACTACAACGTCGGCACCAACCGCGTCTTCGTTGACTACGACCGTGAGAACGCTGAGGAGATGGTCGAGGAGACCTTCCGTCTCGAGGTGCACAAGGTGTACGAGGCCCAGTCGGATGAGATGACTCTGGAGCCGGATGGAACCAACGATGAGGACGATAAGGCGACCCTCTCGGTTCGGATCATTTTCCATCGCGACTCGGACAAGGACTACGGTCCCTACCTCCTCGAGCCCTTCGATCTCGAGGAGATCCTCGATCCGGAGGACTTGACCGACGGCGGTCGGATGGAGAGAATCTTCTGGGAGATCGCCGCCACCGCCGTCAAGGAGCGCCTCGGTGCTTAATAGGCTTCGTCACACCACCGCCGCCGCCACCACCACCACCACCACCACCATGGCCTTCTTGTCCTGGGCCTCGGCCTATTCCCTGCAGACACCACCGGCGATACCTAGCAGCTATTACAGCTAGCTAGGTATCGTCGGGGAGGTGTCTGCGCGATGGATACTAGGGGGAGGAGGGGAAGGAAGGGGGAGAGGGGGGGAAAGCGGGGTGTTTGCGTGTTTGCGGGCTCTCGGAGCCGGAGCCTGGCCGGTGAGGGTCAGGTTCTGGTTCTGAGGGCCTGCCTTTATATCAGAGAAAAGAACCATTGCGTTTCACTATCAGGAACCATGTGCTTGTGACCGTGATCATACTTAAGTAATGATACCATCGTCTCTAGTGCTTACTTGTCGTTTGGGAACTGCTTGATCTACATTCCCCCAAGCTTAGATATGTAGAAGCAGCTCAGATTCAGTTTGGACGTAATTGCAGCTGATTTGAGGTATTGAAAGTCGTCACCTAACGCTCCGCGTTGAAGGGGCTCGGGTACACGCCGAACAAAGCTATCGCGAAGAAGAGAAGAATCAGAGTAGGGGAGGGGAAGGCGCCCCGTGCCAAGAGTTCTATCCCTCCGCTCTATGTCCCTCTACTTACCTTACGTGTACCGAACGAGACCAAAGAAGAAGGAAGTCTGGCCTTGGAGGAACCAAACCAAAAGCGTGGGATCACTGTGGCCGAGGAAGTTGAGATCGTACCTATGGCTTCTTCACAATCTCTTAAACGCATTCCTCTCGACGCTTGTGGCAGGAAGGAAAGGGAAGATAGAGCCTCTTCTCTTTCCTTACCCCTCGTTTCTAAGGGCCGTTTAGAAAAAAAGAGTCGGTAGCAATCACCTGAAGCAATTCCGTCCCCCATCCTCGAAGCCTTTCAATATTCTAGAAACTCCAAAATTCTATTATCGTCATTTTCTCAATCACACACATCGTCCATTTCCAAAACATGGCAGGTAGTTCAAAAGCGGCTCTCCTAAGCCGCCCACATCCCGCCCCCTCGCACCCAGAATAGGCAGGTTTTCGGCGAAACAACATGCCCACAATTCCGTCAGATCGGACCCGGGCTCGGGCTCACAGCAAAGAGCCAACCGGACCAAAAGAAACGCCCCTCAACGCCGCCCGCGAAAACAAATGTATTCAAGCTGTCCGCGGCCGCCGAGAAAATGGAGTCAAATCGTCAACGGGGTGCTCAACACGTCTTATAACCGACGATTCTGGGGAAATGTCAGCAAACTACGTCAAACGTGCTTTACGTCCGTTAACACCGTGAGCAGATCACTGATTTACATATTCGAAATCATGCCATGATAATGTCACCGCAAAGAAGATCGAGGCACTCTCTCGAGATATAAGTCTAACATCACCAACTCCCTCTAAAACCTCATAACAGCTCCATAAACCCACACACTCCTCCAAGCGCCACCAAACTCGCAACAATGGTCAACGTCGCAATCGCAGGCGGCACCGGCGCCGTAGGCCGCACTCTCATCGAAGTCCTATCCACGCAGACAAAACACCAAGCCTTCATCCTCTCCCGCAAGGCCCCCAACCCAGAGGAGACTCCCCTGGCACCGACGTTCGAGGTAGACTACTCCAATGTCGACGCCCTCAAGGCGTTCCTCGAAGAACACGACATCCACACCGTCATCAGCGCGTTCGGCATCACCGCCACATCCCTCGCGACGTCGCAGCTGAACCTCATCAAGGCGGCCGACCTGTCGTCCGCGACGAAGCGGTTCATCCCCAGCTCGTTCGCGATGCGGTATCCTGAAGAGTGAGCTTATTCATCAAACATCGTGCTTTCGTAACGGTGAACTAACAAACCATCACAGCGGCGTCGCCCTCCTCCCGCCCCTAGAACACTACTTCACCTCCCTCCGCGCCCTCTCCAACACAAACCTCGAATACGCCGCCGTCCACAACGGCACCTTTCTCGAATACTTTGCTCCCCCCACCTTGAAATCCCACCACCCGCACAGCACAATCGTTCTCGACATCGCCCACGCCGCCGCCGCGATCCCAGGCGACGGCAATACCCCCGTGACATTCACATACACCTTTGACGTGGCGCGCTACGTCGTCGCGGCGCTGGACCTGCCCACCTGGCCGGCGGACCACGAACTCCGCATCGTGGGCGACGAACTCACCTTTAACGAATTCGTCAAGCTAGCCGAGGAAATCAAGGGCGAGAAGTTCAATGTGATCTACGATGACGTGGAGAAGTTGAAGAGGTCTGAGATTTCAGAGTTGCCCGGCCACAAGGCGTCGTATGCGCAGTTCCCCAAGGAAAGGTTGCAGTGGTTCCTGTCGATCTTTGAGCTTTGGATGGCGACTGGGTTGGGAAAGGTTGAGGGCGGGAAGGGGTCGTTGAATGAGCTGTTTCCAGAGATTAAGCCTTTGACTGCGAGGGAGATGTTGGAGAAGTATTGGAAGGCATGAATAAGTAAGGTGGTGGTCTAGGGTACTTGGTGGGCTTGAGTTTCATTGCATCCCAAATTTGAGTTCAAAGGATCGGATGTTACCCAGACCATGTATTGGAGTACCCCAAAATCGAAATAAACATGTTCAAATCGCTATCCTCAACTCAATAACGACCTCATGATGAGGCCACGGAAAATGCAAAAATGAAGTTGTTGCGACCTACGTAGGGATCGAACCTACAATCTTCACAGTATGACTAAGACAGAAGCCGAAATGTGACGCGATGCCATTTCGCCAGCAGGCCAACGCTGACTGATGACAAAGACGGTGCAGCAAACAGTTTATGTACCTCACTCTGGTGGGGACTCGGGTCTCCGAAGGAGTGGAAGCTGCCCCACGATGTGGGGTTTGATCTCCCGATCCCTCGACAAACATAGTAGAATACAACACAAACAGTACTTGGTAGACAAAGGATTTCGCATATTGCTTTTTTGTTTGTTTGTTCAGGCATTACAATTAGATCCCCGAGATCGATCATATCGGGGATCTTTGTGACAGAAAGAGAAATCTAAACAAACAAATCTAACAAACGAACTGGGTATCGCACACAGGAGGGGAGGCCCGCGCATCCGGGCAAAGGTAAGGTAGGAATACACTGCATCGCATCGCAATCGCATCGCAATCGCAATCACTTCACCTCCACAACAACAGCAGAGTCAGCAGACCCCGCGTCCGTCTGGGCATCTGCCTCAATCCTGCCACCTTCGCCATCGCCCTCGCTCTCCGCCTCGGGGGCCCACACCGCTTCAATGATGCTCATCCTGCAGCCCGGGGGCCTCATGACACCCTTAAACACAAACCGCTCGTCCGCGGCCCTAAAGAGCTCGCGGTACTCGTCCTCGTTGCGCTCCTGTGCGTTGAGCACCGCCAGCATCACCATGTCCATGCTGCGGATGATGCGCTCGTCCCAGGGCGTCTCCTGTCCAGCCTCGCGGAGGCAGTGGTCCTTGATGACTACCCTGGCGCCTGGTTTCAGTGCCGGGACGAGGTTCTTGAGGATGGAAATGGCGTAGGGCGTCGAGTAATTGTGCATGATCCAGCGGAAAAAGTAGACTGTTTGTGCGGCTCAGTCAGACTTGGGGCGTTCCCCACAACGCAATCCTGGGAAAAGATAGAGACAAAGAACTCACCATCGGCATCTTTGACGGTCTGCTCCTTGAAAAAGTCGTGCGCCATGAGCTGAACGCGCTCTGCAACCTGAGCGTCCTCACACAACGGGCTTGGCGCCGAATCCACAGTCTTGGGGAGGTCCTGAACCACAAACTTCATGTTCTTCCACCTCTTGGCCAGATCGATCGACACGAACCCATGGCTGCCGCCAATGTCGACCATGGTTCCTCCCCTGGCGTCAATCTCTTCGAAATCGTACGAGTCGACGAGATGCCTGACCTCGTAGCCCTCTCCGCCCGTCAAGCTAAGCATGGCACCGCCGAATCGCTTGGCGCGAGGAGGGTCCTTGCCAAAGGTGACAAACATTGGCTCCTTGTCTACGGTGTCGAATGCAAAGTTGAAGCCGGTTCGTGTGAGGGACGTGGCTTCTGGGTAGGCCTTGAGAGCCTGCAAAACGTGCGCAGACGCTGGGAAGTTGTCCTCGAGGTTGTAGCCCACCCAATCCTGAAGAGCTTGGTCTTCGGCCAGGAGGCGTGATGCCGCGGTATGCGCAATTACTCCATGGGACGGCTCGCGGAAGATACGGTTTGTCATGACATGACGCAGGACACGGGCAAGGTTAACGGGATCCAGTGTCGTCTTGGTTTGGAGCTCTGCCAGTGTGATAGTGCCGTCGATGGGTACGAGCTTGGCTGGGAAATGTTAGTCTCGGGTCCGGTAGAGAAACCTCCCAGCTCCGCAGTCTTGGGCTTACCGATGCCGAAGTGGTTGACAAGCTGAAGGCTCAGACTGTCTTGAAACTGTCCAACTAATCAGCTTACGACCTTTACCATTTTCCAGACCTCTCTACTCACACTCCACGTCTTCCACCGAACGTCCTCTCTCGGGCCGTGAGCCAATGCTTCGAGCTCTCTCGTCGCAAAGATAATCTCCATACGACTCTTTTGGATGTCCTCGGGAAGCTTGGGAAAGTCGCCGGGGCCATTTGGATCCAAGGAAGGCATTGGAAGATTGTTCTCTTGCATGTACCTCTCCAGCTTCTCTGTTTCGGATGCAATCTTCTTAGCAAGCTCCGTTAACCTCGACGGCGAGTACGTAGGCTTCTCCGAGGCGACAGGCGCGGGCTTTGCAATCGGCGCTCCATTGGGGACATCGTCTCTGGGTTTGGCGGCAGAACGAGTAATGAATGGGGTGAATGATCGTCGGTTTTGCTTCTTCTGCTCAACCTCTGCGGCGGTGGGTGACGGGCTGGTACCCAGCCAGTTGCTAAACTTGAATTTGTTCATCTTTGCGGTGGCAGTCAGAACGAAGATGTTGATGGTCTGCGGGTGTCGCGAGGACTTTGTGCTTTTCTAGTTAGCATGGGTGAAGGGAATTGCTTG